CGTCGTCGCTTACTTCAAGTGACGAGTCGGAATCTTGTGAGCCATATGCGCTGTTAATAACGTCTTCAAACCGGGATTCTGCCGCTCTTCGGATGATGGTTCCTTTACTGCTCTTCTCGAGTGGCTGGTCTTGGTAGGGTAGCGGAATGAGCATGTCAAACGATATCCTTGCATGGTCCTGGCTTTCGCTGTTCAGCTTCTCGACTTGTATCCTAATGGCGCCTAGGAGCTCTTGGTCTGACATGTTGCTTGACTGTTTTGATCGCAGGAGAAGAGCACCTGGGAAGGGTTTGTTGTTACCAAATATCAGCACATCTTCGAGACAAGGAGAAGCCGCGATAGCGTCTTCCAGGGGCGCCGGATCGAATTTCTTTCCGGTTAGCAGAGTAAGTTGTGAATCTGCTCGCGAATGGTACAACCATGCGTCCTTGATGGTCGGATGTGCTGCAAACAAGTCGGCAGTTGCAAAAGACCCGTCCGGTCGGTTCTGTTTGGCCTGCTCCAAGTCAGCCGGTCGTCTCATCGTCTAAACTCGTGCAAGGTACCATATGTGGCCATCCCGGCTTGATAATAAGCTCTGCTAGGTCTGCTTCACGCTTCTCGAACTCTACCAGTTTCGGTGGGTTGTAGTTCCGCAGATACTGCCAATCGTCGTCGGCGGCAAAATCGCGATACGAAGACAGAATGAAGCCACACTCCGCACTCCCAAATCTGGAGATGAGATTAACACGGCTCTTTACTAATCGGTCGCCCACTTCTGCTGGCAATGCAGCGCCTCCAACGCCCACAATGTCCATGTCTTGAAGCAGCTGCAGACCCTTCTCGTCGGCCTCCATCATTTGGAGCACATAGGGTACGGATGAGAAGTATTTGACTTTGGGTAGTCCTTCCGTCGCCGCGTACATCTTGGCCACATCCAGGCAGTTGCAGATGTTGCGTGCTGTTATTGGTACATCTTTGCCTGGGAAGAGCCAGATCATAGCATTGCTCGTCCAGCACCGGAAGAGATCCGCGATGCCGCCATGATAAAGGGGCGTTGTAGTGAAGGATGCTAGGGCAGGAATCTTGGGGAGATGCGGAAGCACGCCAATAGCCGCACGATGGGATTGCGGGATTGGTTTTGGCAGACCTGACGAGGTTCCAGACGTGTGGTGTAAGTACGCAATGGATCCTTCATCTACATGAAGAGGTTCGACGCTACTCTCTGGTGCGGTCTGGATAACATCGAGAACGTCTTCTGCACCACTCAGTGGTAACAGCATCACTTGTAGCCCCAGCGTACCTTGTTCTTTTGCCAGCGTCTCGGTCTGCTGGGCCCGTTCAGTATGGGCAACATCGTAGAAGAAGTCAGTAACCTCGCATGCTGTGCAGAGATGTAGGATGGCTGCTGGCTGGCATTGTGGTGCTACCAGAAGGACAGAGTACCCTATTCTGATCAGACCCAGCCAAGTGAAGAGGAATTCCGGAGAGCTGTGACATAGCAAGGCTACAGTCGCTAGCTTGCGAGATGTGCCAAGGGAAGTTGTGAGGCGCGAGGCGAAGACGTTGGTGCCCTGGTCAACGTCTGCAAATGTGAGGACGCGGTAGTCCCATTCTTGCTGGTTGGGTCGTGGTATAGGAAAGCCAACAGCTGGGAGTAATGGATGATGCTGGGATTGTTGACTGAGGAACTCGCTAATGTTTCGGTATGACTTCGGATTGGTGTTTAGGGCTGCAGCTTGGCCGAGCGTGCAGACGAAGTAGTTGTTCTGCATTCTGAGACGTATAACGAAAAGCCCAGGTAAACAGGACTATCTGGTCCAATAGCCTGTGCGACTGGATTGTGCATGCGTCAGCTTCAAGTGGCGTGTGCAATGTTTGCGGCCACAGTGACAGCGATAATGCAAGCGCCATTAGTCGTGACATCATCTTGGCTGCAAAGGCAGTAGCGACCCTGCAGCTGCTCCTTGAGCAAGCTACTGCATGTACAACACACATGCGGCTGTGTCTGATCGAAAGATGAGGCTGCACACAAACCCTCACGATAGCAGCAAGTGTTTGATTTCCTGTGAGCTCCGGGACGATAGGTCAGCTGTTGCGCGCACGAACCATGCGTTCAACCAGGTCATGCCCAACCCAATGCAGCCTTCCAACGCGAGCCGCCACTTGATCGCAATCGGACGCAGTGAATTCGGTCTCGCGAGTGGGTCATGATGGCAGACGGCGTCACGAGACGGCTAAAAGAGGCTCGAGAATATTCTGCGTAAGACAACGGCTGGAGAGCGACGTACACCCGCGTAATCGGCTTACGACAGGTGTTACCGTGTACTGGCAACGCCACAGTGACTATCGTGTTTCTGGGGTAGCGAATGCGGGCAATGTCGACGCCTCGATGCTCGACCCAGTGACTAGTGCCTATCGACGTGTCACGGGTGTTGAGTCTTTGCAATACTGTACGGCGAGTGTTCACTTCTGGAGACGTCCAGATGGCGTACCGTGCCTCATGTAGAATGCGGCACCATGTATGGCATGTCTGACAAGCTTGGAGCATTGGACGCATCCAGCGCCTCTCCGCTCTCCGCCCAACGGGCTTATATCCGACGCGGCACAACCAAGACAATGTTTTGGGACAGAGAGTGGGGAAAAGGTGCAGCTAGCAGCGCGGCGGTGTGTGGCAATGCGAATAGCTTCACGAGGAACATGGTGCGTCTTTTAAGGTAGATTTGTCAAGGCCGGTGATTGGTGGTATCGACTGCCCACATGCATTGGGCCGGTGGATACGTCGTTCGTCTGTGCGGCCCGAGGATGTGAGTATATGCGGGCCACCCAGCAAGGCAATACGCTAGGTAGTGGAAGCCGGAAGTCAGGATCCGGCATTCCTCGAGCGACGGCGGCCGTGTTTGCTGTGGCTATACCGCATGTTTCTATTGCTCGAGAGCCGCCGGGTCCTGCTGCGACATGCGATGGGATCTGAAACTGTGCGACGTCGAGGGTGCGGTGAGGATGGATGCAAGGCGGCCGTTGTTTTTGGGCGGCTGCTGGTGAGGAGTGGAGCTCGGCCCGCCAGACGATGCTTGACCGTCTCTGAGCAGCCCCGTACGTGTCAGGCGATGGGGTTTGCACAGAGAAGGCGATGCACGGGCGCGTTGACCTGCGACCATGTTCCTTTGTCGTGAGCCAAGCAGGTCAACACATCTGCGCGGGGCGGTATGTCGCGCAGCCAACCACGGCGGGCATGGCTGGGGTGCAGACAGTTGGCAGTGTCGCTGCCGCAGGCCTGTATCCGAAGCGTGGCGGGTTTTGCGTCAGTCTTCGCCTGAAACACACACGGCGACGGTGACGATGGCCGCTCGCGAGGCTGCTGCTGCGTGCCCGACGAGCGCAACAGCATCCGGATGTTCGGCCTTGCCCCAACGGCGCTGCAAATTGAGCAATTTCCTAGCGGGCAGCTTTCGCATAAGTCGCCCAGGTAGCTTTTGATCGCGTCTGAGCGTATCTCGAGGTGCAATTGCCCTAGCTGCTAGAGGCAAGCACGGCCGGCTAGCGTTGTTTGTCTAGCCCGTGCGCGGGAGCATATATTCCTGCCCTCCCCAGCAACACCCGCCTCTTCAATCCGTTCACCCAAACCAGCATTAAATCACGCTGTAAGTCTCACCTGCGCTGCGCCCGAAGCCCCCAAAGCCCCCAGTCCATATATTGCGCCCATTGCCCCCTTCACTGCTCCTCCCAAGCCCAATCCGCACCCGCTCCACCGCTGCCGATCTCCCGCTGACTCTGTACCGCGCAGGCATTGATATTCTCTGCCCCATCCACAACAATGCTCTACTCTTCCATCATCGTCGCCGCCTCGGCTTTCGCCGGCCTCGCCTCTGCGCAAAACTCCACTGGCAGCTACAACACCCCCATCCCATGCTGCAGCGTCGACGCCGGCTCGGTGCCCCAGGACGACAAGCAGGCGTGGTGCAACGCCAACCAGAACACTTGCGTCGACGCCTGCGGTGGTCAGAGCAAAGTCGCCAGCCAGGGCAACAACTGCGATTCTGTTAGTATACCCACGGTCACATGCGATTCTTCCGCTAACATATGCATAGCAAACGCTTGAGTTCGACTGCAAGTGCAGGAACGAGACTGATATCAGCTCTGCGCTGGGGAACTATGAGCAGTCCGTCGACGGCCAGATGTGCCGTTACTGGTACGACCAGTGTGTCGTCGCCAGCGGCTCCGACGCTGCTGCCCGATTTGAGTGCGAACAGGCCCGTGACAACGAGTGCGGTACCTTGAAGTTCGACGCCGCCGCCACATCTTCAAGCGCCTCTCCCTCCGACAGCCCCTCGGCCACCAACAGCGGCTCTTCCCCAGACAACACCGGCGATGCCGCCGCCAGCGGAGCCTCCTCTACCCCCACCGAGGGTGCTGCCGTCCGCAACGCCATGTACGGCGCACCTGTCCTTGCCGGTGGTCTGTTCGCCCTCTTCGGCTTCGCCTTGTAAGCTGGCAATACTATAGATGGATTGCGGGCCGGTCCCAGTTGGACGGTAATGAGGATGGATTCGCGTCACGGATACTAGCATGGCGATATCACATATCGGGAGCCACGGCATAGCGTAACTAGCGCTTCGACGTTGGCGTCACATTGCTTGCACTGCTATCTATTTGTTCACGGCGGCTGAAGAGAGATGACGGGAGTTTAGGAGGATACTTAATGCGATGTTATGAAAGGACACACGACTTGTAATACCCAATACTACCAATACCGCCATTGCTGTATCTTGATCCGTTTTAGTGATGCTTTCCCACATGCGCGTATCGCATCCACCAACATTTGCTGACCTGGAGGCTTTATGGTTGTGTACATGTGGACGCGTCGCGTCTTCCCCGCATCTTCAAGTGCCATGGTTTGCGCAGGGACGTGTAGTCTACCATGGTTGTCAGCTGTAGCGCTAGACCGTCGCCCCATTGGTCAATGCGTGGATCAGCCGGCTCGAAGCTCAAGAATGATAAGCGTTATGCAGCTGAACCCATGCCCACATGACGCACGTCTCCGAAATCGTTCCTAGACCCAACATCAAGTAGACTCTACTACCGTCGGAGCCGCTCTCTGCTCAACACTTCACGACGCCTCACTGCCGATAGCCCGCTTGTTGACTGAAGCCCAGCCTTCGGCATCGCCGTATCACAAGCTCACACTCAGCTCCGAAGCCGAGGCCAGGCGGATACCAAGACAGCAGGTGAAAGCCGCACCCCGAGCAGACGATATTTCCCTACTGACTGCATCTAGCATCATAAATACACAACCGTGGCTGTCTCAAGACCCCTCTCGCTCGCGACTCACTCACCTATATACTACGTCACTCCCCAGCACCTACGCCAAAATCTGCGTAAGCGAGTCGCAGTACCGATCCACACTTCATACTTCACGAACCTACAGAGAAGACGATACACCTCGAAAACAATGGCGACTCTCAGTGCTGGACGTAAGCACAAGGTGACAATAGTCGGCTCTGGCAACTGGTATGTGGCAGCATCGGCTCCGGTGCGAGGGGAGATACCCACACGCAAAGCATGGCTAGCCGCTGAGATCAAGAGCTAACGGCTACAGGGGCACGACCATGGCCAAGCTGGTCGCCGAGAACGTCAAGGAGCATCCGTCGCTGTTCGAAGAGACCGTGCAGATGTGGGTGTTCGAGGAGGAGTACACCTTCCCAAAAGACTCGCCTCACTACAGCGGCTCCGACAAGCCCGAGAAGCTCTCGCAAATCATCAACAAAGTCCACGAGAACGTCAAGTACCTCCCCAACATCAAGCTTCCTTCCAACGTCGTCGCCAACCCCGATCTCCCCGATTCTTGCAAGGACTCGACCATGCTCATCTTCGTTCTCCCTCATCAGTTCATTGCACGTTCAAGCCAGCAGCTGGTCGGCAAGATCCTGCCATATGCGCGAGCTATCTGCTGTACAAAGGGTGTTGATGTCAGCGAGAAGGGCATTCGACTCATGTCCGAGACCATTGGCATGACGCTCAACATCTATTGCGGTGCCCTGTCGGGAGCCAACATCGCTTCCGAGATTGCCCAAGAGAAGTACTCCGAGACGACAGTAGCGTACGACCCGCCACCAATGGACTCGCGCAACCCTACCCCCAGTGGTTCGCCGAATGCCTCGCAGACTGATCTTACTGCTCATGTTGATCTCATTGACCCCAGTAAAAAGAAACCCAGTAAGCGTTCGGCGCATCTGACTGCTCTTCCCAACGAGTACCCCCCTCTATCGCACGAGAATGTTCGCAAACTCTTCCATCGCCCTTACTTCCACGTACACATCGTCAACGATGTCGCTGGTGTCTCACTGGGTGGAGCGCTGAAGAACATCATTGCGCTGGCTGCAGGCTTCGTGGATGGTCTGGGCTGGGGAGACAACGCAAAAGCAGCGGTCATGCGTGTCGGTATCTTGGAGATGGTCAAGTTTGGCAAGGCTTTCTTCGGAGAGAGTGCTCGTACAAGCACCTTCACCGAAGAGAGTTGTGGTGTTGCCGATGTTGTGACCTCGTGCATGGGCGGTCGCAACTTCCGCTGCGCAAAGATGGCCATCGCCCGCGGCAAGACCATTTATGAGATTGAGCAGTCTGAGCTCAACGGCCAAAAGCTTCAGGGCACCAGTACTGCCTATGAGGTGAATGAATTCTTGAAGGCCGAGGGCATGGAGGCCGAGTTCCCACTCTTCACCGCTGTCTACAATATCTTGGAGGGTAACAACAAGCCCGAGGATATTCCTCAGCTCATTGAGAAGAAGCCATGACTAGAGGAACCCAGACTTTAGACGTCCGATACATAGCGGCGGGCTCTGTGATTCGATAAACTACATCTAGACTTGAAAGCGAATACCCCTTTAGGTAGAATAGACTCCCCTTGAAATCTCGTCGGCTCGTTCATCCCTACGCCAGAATACTCACGTACCGTATGCAATCGCTGCATGGCCATCATCGTTACCAAATGAGCCTGTTGCGTGATTTCCCAGCACACCTGTATTGATAAGCAAACCATCGTACAACGTCCGCAGCACCCAAACAGGCACATCCTGATAGTGGGGACGAGCGTCTTTGTACGAGAATGATCGTTTCGGGGTTTTCGCATACTTCTAAACATATAGATACTTTATAAGCACTGCATATAGGCGATACGACATATGCACTCGGCCGCGCTGTTAATGCAACCGACTGACGCAAGTACCTCCGAACAGCATCGGACTTTAGAATTGCCTTGGCAGGATCGACGTTTAGTTCGGCGCTTGAGTCCGCGGAGCAGCATCCATGCCAACTACATCATGCCGAACATGGATCACTACCAGCTCCCGATCACTGAGTTTGTGGAAGACCGCCTGCCTGCAGCCTACACACGCGTCAGGAATGCGATTTGGTCCACCTTACACGAGTGAGCTGTGACTCGTGTTGTGGTAACGATATGCAGGGACACCCACTGAGTGGGTAAAGCGAATGAGATCGTGGGCGGAAGGATTGATTGGTAATGCGAAAAAAAAGTTAGATCTTCAACCGTTTCAACCGCATCTAGGTTTGGTGATTGTGGATGCGCTTCGCATCTCTAGCCCTGTCTAGCTTCTCGGCAAGGCACGTCAATCGTTAATCAAATCTCAAAGATGACGACATGGCCTTGCTTTAACTCCGATGCCTCCTGCTTGAGGGTTTGTCAACTTCCCGATTTTTGGCCTGGTGTCCCCGTCATCTGTAGGACCCCATTGTTTCCCGTCTCTTCAACGGCGGAAGCTTAATATCAGCCGATTGAGCAATTTGTCTGCAGGTAAACCTCCTGACTGCTTCTTGTGCCGAGTTTCTTCATACCACTTCTCTATTCTGTTTCTCCTCTAGTGCAGCTGTTTGATACCCAATACTTTTCTCACTCATCATGTGGGGTTCCGCCATTCCACCCGCCGAACGGGACAATCGACGCAATCCATGGCACGAGGACGACTACCTTCGCGATGGGAGAGAAGAAGTAGTGACACCGGACCACCAGAGCGAGGAGGAAAGCCCAGATCGCGACCGCCTACGACGCGCAGGCACCTGGGGTGAGAAAGACGCAGGGAGACTTGATACACGGGCAGCAGCAGAGGATCTCGAGGTCCTACGGGGAGAGCTTGCGTCTTTGTCAAAGTCGCGTTCCCGCGGCGCACAATCGCAACGATCGAACCCGCTTTCTAGGACTACAAGTCGACTCAGCAAACGCCAAAGCCAGGGCCAGGGCCATCGTCGAGGATCCATTACGCGCGCAGAAGAGGGCACCGGCGATGCAGAAGATGACGAACCGGTAGACATTGTTGCTGCGGAAAAGGAAGACGACTTCGAGCTCGATGAATTCATGCGTGAGGGACACTTCGAGAAGCGCAAGGACGGTCAATCGGCCAAGAAAGTCGGCGTCATCTACAAGAATCTCACCGTTAAGGGTGTGGGGTCGACTGCTTCCTTCGCGAGGACGCTGCCCAACGCGATTCTGGGCACCTTTGGGCCTGATCTCTACCGTATCGTCTCCGGTTTTATCCCGACGCTGAAGTTGGGCAGACATAAGCAGATGCGGACACTTATCAATGACTTTTCGGGTGTGGTCAAAGATGGCGAGATGATGCTCGTCTTAGGACGGTGAGCAATACCTCCGTACGAAATGTATTCGTGACAACTACTGACATGGTTTACTAGGCCCGGATCTGGATGTTCTACCTTCCTGAAGGCTATATCAAACAATCGCGAGTCGTATGCTGCCGTGGAGGGCGATGTATCCTACGGAGGTATCCCAGCCGGCAAGCAGAAGAAGCAATTCCGAGGAGAAGTCAACTACAACCCCGAGGACGACTCGCACATGGCCGATCTCAACGTCTGGCAAACACTCAAGTTTGCCCTCACCAACAAGACCAAGAAGAACGAGAAGCACGAGGTCAGTCTCCCGCGCGAAAAACCCAAGCCAAACAACTACTAACATGATGAACTACAGATCCCGATCATCCTTGACGCACTCCTAAAGGTCTTCGGTATATCCCACACCAAATACACCAAAGTAGGAGATGAATACGTTCGTGGCGTTAGTGGAGGCGAACGCAAGCGCGTCTCCATTGCCGAGACTCTCGCCACGAAGAGCACGGTCAACTGCTGGGACAACAGCACCCGCGGCCTTGACGCCAGTACCGCGCTCGACTACGCCAAATCGCTCCGCATCATGACCGATATCAGCAACCGAACGACGCTAGTGACGCTTTACCAAGCTGGTGAACAGATCTACGAGGTCATGGACAAGGTCATGGTTATTGATGCTGGACGCTGCATCTATCAGGGGCCGGCGGGCGAGGCGAAGCAGTACTTCCAGGACTTGGGGTTCAAGTGCCCAGAACGCCAGACGACGGCTGACTTTTTGACGGCGGTTACTGATCCTACCGAACGTCAGTTTCGTGAAGGATTTGAAGACAAAGCACCGAAGACGTCTGAGGAGCTTGAGAAAGCTTTCAGAGAGAGTGAGGCTTACAAGAAGGTTTTGAGAGAGATCTCCGAATACGAAGCGGAGCTAGAGAACAGCGGCTATGTGGACGCCAAGGAGTTCGAGGGCGCCGTACGAGAGAGTAAGAGTAAGACGGTTCGCAAGAAGAGTCCATACACCGTCTCTTTCATCCGCCAAGTACTGGCTTGCACTCAACGCGAGTTCTGGCTCACATGGGGTGATCAGACCACGCTATATACCAAATTCTGTAAGTTGCGCCAACGCGATGAGGGAGCCTGGAGGTATTCGCCACCTTTTCGGTTTTCAAAGGTCTATTGAAAGTGGGACGAGGACCTCCTTGCTTACTCGTTGCTCTTACCATCTCGCGATAATCTACTAACGTCTTCGTCAAGTCATCATCATCTCCAACGGTCTCATCGTCGGATCCCTGTTCTACGGACAAGCTCTTGACACCTCTGGTGCTTTCTCACGAGGCGGCTCTGGTTTCTTCTCCATTCTCTTCCTCGGATGGCTCCAGCTTTCGGAGCTGATGAAGGCGGTCTCTGGTCGTAATGTTGTCAAGAGACATGAGGACTACGCTTTCTATCGCCCTAGTGCTGTGGCCATTGCGCGTGTGGTGCAAGACTTCCCGCTGCTGCTGGCACAGGTCATTCCATTCTGTAAGTCGTGTCTTCCCGAAGCCCATATGGGATGCATGCGCCTGAAGGCCTTTGCGGCATTCTCGGGTTCCAACTGCAGACTTACCATCCTGCGAGGGCCTTTTGGCTCATCTGACTTCACGTGAATCTTGCTAACGACTTCAGCCATCATCATGTACTTCATGACCGGTCTCGACGTCGACGTGTCCAAGTTCTTCATCTACTTCCTGTTCATCTACATCACAACCTTCTGTGTTACAAGTCTCTACCGCATGTTCGCCGCTCTCTCGCCTACCATCGATGACGCCGTGCGGTTTGCGGGTATCGCGCTCAATCTCCTGATTATCTACACGGGCTACGTCATCCCGAAGCCCCAGCTTCTGACGGACTATATCTGGTTTGGATGGATATACTGGATCAACCCGGTTGCGTACTCTTTCGAATCGGTGCTCGCAAACGAATTTTCCGATCGTATCATGGAGTGCGCTCCTAGCCAACTGGTACCCCAAGGATCAGGTGTCGATCCCGCCTATCAGGGTTGTAGTTTGACTGGTGCACCACCAAACTCGAGAACTGTCCCCGGCTCAGACTACCTCCAGGTGTCCTTCAACTACTCGAGGTCGAACCTCTGGCGCAACTTCGGTGTTGTAATAGCCTTCACGGTGCTATATCTTTTGGTAACGGTGATCGCAACCGAAACGGTATCCTTCGCGCAGTCAGGTGGCGGTGCATTGGTCTTCGCCAAGAACAAGCGGGCCAAGCAAGCTGTTAAGGAAGAGGCACCTGTTGATGAGGAAAATGTGGTCGCTGGCGAGTCTACCGCGAGCTCAGACACCGCTACTCATCAAGAGGAGGAGGCGCTGGACTCGATCTCGAGCAGCGAAAGCGTCTTTACCTGGAAGGATGTCGAATACACTGTCCCATATCAGGGAGGTGAGCGCAAGCTTCTGAACAAGGTCAACGGATATGCAAAGCCTGGTGTCATGATCGCCCTTGTCGGTGCCTCCGGTGCCGGTAAGTCCACCTTACTCAACACACTATCGCAACGACAATCTACCGGTGTCGTCTCTGGTGAGTTCCTGGTGGATGGCAAGGATCTCGGCAAGGCTTTCCAACGAGGTACTGGATTCTGCGAGCAGATGGATCTCCACGACGGTACTGCTACAATCCGCGAAGCTCTCGAGTTCTCCGCCATCCTGCGCCAGGATAAGAAGACGCCTAGGAAGGAGAAGCTTGACTACGTCAACAAGATCATCGACCTGCTCGAACTACAAGACATTCAAGATGCGCTTGTTTCCAGCCTGGGTGTTGAGCAAAAGAAGCGCCTCACGATCGGTGTCGAACTCGCTGCGAAGCCTTCGCTGCTACTGTTCCTTGACGAGCCGACGAGTGGTCTCGACAGCAACTCGGCGTACTCCATCGTCCAGTTCCTCAAGAAGCTCGCTCAGGCAGGCCAGGCTATTGTCTGCACTATTCATCAGCCCAGCAGTGTCTTGATTCAGCAATTCGACATGATTCTGGCCCTCAATCCCGGTGGCAACACTTTCTACTTCGGTCCCGTAGGCGAGAACGGAACCGACGTTATCAAATACTTTGGCGATCGCGGCGTACAGTGTCCGCCTAGTAAGAACGTGGCAGAGTTCATCCTGGAGACCGCAGCGAAGCCTGTCAAGCGTAAAGATGGCAGCAAGATCAATTGGAATGAAGAGTGGCTCAATTCCGACAACAACAAGCAGATGCTCCAGGAAATCGATCGCATCAAGGCCGACCGCAGCAAGACCGTATCCAACCAGAACCAAGAAGGAGCAGAAGAGGAATCCGAGTTCGCGGCAAGTGTCTGGGAGCAAACCACCATGCTTACCAAGCGCACCTTCATTCAGTACTGGCGCGATCCGTCGTATCTATACGGCAAGCTTTTCGTCGCAGTGATCATCGGCATATTCAACGGCTTCACATTCTGGCAACTCGGCAACTCCATCGGCGACCTGCAAAACCGCATGTTCACCGCTTTCCTCATCATCCTCATTCCACCCACCATCGTCAACGCCGTCGTACCCAAATTTTACCAAAACATGGCGCTATGGCAAGCTCGCGAACTTCCGTCTCGCATTTACGGCTGGGTCGCTTTCACCACTGCGCAGGTGGTGGCTGAGATTCCCATCGCCATCGTGTCGAGTGTGCTATATTGGATTTTGTGGTACTTCCCTACTGGGCTACCCACCGATAGCTCGACGTCTGGATACGTCTTCTTGATGACAATGCTGTTCTTCCTGTTCATTTCCAGCTGGGGTCAGTGGATTTGTGCGTTTGCGCCGAGCTTTACGGTTATTTCGAATGTGTTGCCTTTCTTCTTCGTCATGTTTGGTCTGTTCAATGGTGTTGTACGGCCGTACGACATGATGCCCGTCTTCTGGAAGTATTGGATGTTTTGGATCAACCCTTCAACGTACTGGATTGGTGGTGTTCTCGCTGCTACTTTGAACGGCATTCCGGTTGAGTGTCAGGAGAGCGAGACCGCCATTTTCGACGCACCACCAGGCCAGACGTGTTCCTCCTACGCTGGTGCCTTTGCTTCAGCTTCTCCTGGATATCTCCTCAACCCCGATGCCACGACTGGTTGCCAATACTGCCCATATTCTTTGGGTAACGACTACCTCGCAACCATCCACATCAAAGCAAGCGACAAATGGCGCAACTTTGGTATCTTCCTTGCCTTTTGCATTAGTAACTGGGCGCTTGTTTACTTTTTTGTTTGGAGCATCAGAATTAAGGGATGGAGCTTTGGTTTCGGGACTGTCTTCGGAGGCCTGGGCAAGGGTGTCAGTAAGATCAAGGGCATGCTAAGTGGGAAGAAGAAGAGTGAAGAGAAGGCCTGATAAGTGCCGTAATCTGTGTGTGTGTGTGAGAGAGAGAGAGAGAGAGAGATGTTTGTAGCCTATCTTCAATATAATGTTCAAGTTTTAGCAAAGCTACGTCTCAAGTTATCTTATCGAAGCGCCTCTTCAATCGCCAGTGTCGCGTCGGTTTGTGCATGTCACGTCACGGACGTATCCATCTAAGAAAGCCTCAAAAGTCAAGTCAACATGTTCTATAATACCGAGTGCGACGCATGCAACTGCGAGTCTGTTAATTAGTAGGCTACCATACGGCACATGAATGCAGTGGACCACTGAGCCCACCGTTACGAATGCCATACTGTACTTGCTTTTTGCATCTGTGTCTTCGGGAACAATCTCCAGGAACTTGTATCCAATTAGCCCAACAGCGCCGCACCCAACCATCATCCTTGCAATATTGGTGGAGAGTTCAGCAGGATCATTGCCGTTCTCCCGATCGCTGCCAAATGAGGCTCCGCGGCATTCAGTCGGAGTGGAAGACGTCTACTTCTAACGACTTAAGCCGCAGGACGGCAATATTGACAGCGAGAGTCTAATATTCATGTTCGTGTTGCCAAAATGTGGTCGCAGACATCAATTCTGATGAGAGAAGTCATCGCCTGATGCGGTCGAAGATATTGCAACTCCAAGAACCTCGCCTCCAGTGGATCGAACGGCGCACGGAGGTGGCGTGCATTTGGTGCACAGGTTCCGTACTGCGGGCGGTCCGGCACGGTACCTATGCGGCTAAGAAGCTAGAGGACAGCTAAATCGTCATTAAGGATGCGAAGGATATGAAGGACGCGAACTTGTTCACATCGCATACATACTAAAAGCGACTATAACGGGTTTCCCGTTCCGACTTGGCAGGGCGTAACTTACTATATATCTTGGCGTTTGGCCTTATACATTCACTCGTCTTTGCACCGAATCAACACAAAGAAGGAGCCACGAACGACCACTATTACATGAACCAAACGCTTTTAGCCAGCAACTAGGCGATATGTGGTAAATGGTATGGGCATTGTGAAGAGCTATTGAGAACGGAAGCGAACACCACGAAGGATTTCCCAATAAAATCTGCAGGATGGCGCATCATAGGCATGATAACGGACTGAAATCATAGGAACCCGATGCTACGAGAATGCGAATATAAAGCCTTGAGGTCTCTCACGTTTCCTCTTAGTATCCTCATCAGCATTGCCTTCACTCAAGGCAAACACTATCTTCCAATCAGTTTAACAAAGCGGATTATACTTTCCAACATGCTCGCCAAACTCGCTGCTCTTTTGGCCTTTGCTGGTGTGTCCAGCGTACAAGCGCAGCTGGTCTACGAATGTGACTCATATACGGAGCCAAATTATGATTCTTGTAAGTAACCGCCTGGTGTTACACGACTTTCAACTAATCGAGCTTTAGGCGACAGAATCATAGCCAGCATTGACTGGACGGAAAGCCCTTATAATGGTGGTCGTCCAATTAAAGATGGTGAATGCAACATCTTCTCTGATCCGACATATTCGGACGGACAGGACGCAAACTGCGTCATCGCTGTATGCAACACCCGCGGCGATGGGCAGGACTCGTACTTGAATGTCGTCAGTGGTCCGACATACTATCGCTTGATCAAGCAGTGGTGTGAGCCTCAGGGATCTGGCGGTCGGGCCCCAGGCCCTGCTCAAATAGAGGCAGGTTCAAACCAATACGTCGAAGCCGGCGCCGCCCCAGCAAGTTTCGTTAGACGCAGCTCCATTCGCACCACGACCCGTTCCTCTAAGCCGCGACTAAGAGTTGACTCGAAGACAATAGAGGAGATGGAGGTTTTCTGGGAGACGGTGAGGAAAGAAACCATCCAACGTCAATCCGAGCCCACTATCCAGAAGAGAGTGAGTATCCAGTCCATCTTTGTCCCTGTTTACCAATTCACTGCCCTTTCTCTAACACAATCCGACAACAGCAAGAAGAGGTGCTTGTCCTCGGTCTTTCTAGGTCCGTTACTCGACCCGGCGTCAGCGACCGGATGAGCGGCATCTCTTCACCTGGCGTAACCACCGAGTGGTCTACTACAGAAGGATTTTCCACGAGCGTCGGTGTGAGTGCCGAAGTAAGCGTCGGCTTCTTTGACATCTTCACTGCATCCGTTGGCATCGACGTATCTATGGAATTTAGTCAGGAGTACACCCGGACGATCGAGTTTGATCCAAGCAAGTCATGCAGCTCATCACAGGAGGCCTTTATGGTCTTCTTACCGCACTTCGATCACTACGTTGTCGCGGACGAGAACGGCAATCAATACGATATCTGGATTCCCGTAGAAGGAGGCGAGGTCGCAGTCCAGTGTCTTGGCTAGACGAACATGGGGATGATTATTAGTCGTAGGGCGGCTAGTCCTGTGGCAGAATATATACTTTGCACGCTTTTTGTAGTATAGTTAGACCTTTTTGCACTTTCAACAATTGCTAAGGTCTGTTAGATGGATATGTAGTTAGGCTGAATAGAGGCGCCATGGCCACTCAATTGTGTCACGAATGCAGTGCTCAATCACTTCTCTGTTTTGCTTATTTTCAAACACTCCCTCATAAGCTTCCTTCCAGAATCTATATCTTAGTAACTCCATGTAATGTTAGTTTCACATCTTGAAGATGTAAAACTGCATTTCGACTGGCCCATGAAGTATTTGTTGTAATCCGCAGATAATTACACAAGCATTACAGTCGCGTTTATAGCAATGAATAAAGACATTCAAGTATTTCGCCGCCTTTTATTACGTACACAAATACATGAATCATCTCAACCTCGGTACTGGCTTCGGTACCTCAAATCGTTCGACGAGGTCGCCATGATTCAGATTATGGAAGCTATGACTAGCTCCCCGCTGTGGATATTGAGTCTTTTAGTGGATAAGAACCAAGGGAAAGTTATCACAGCCACCACACGCTATGTAAGCCAAGGACAACTATATAAAAGGCAACATCCTAGAGAAAAAATGGAATTTCGCAACTCCTACAGAACAGGTCAGTTATTATTCACACCCATTTTTTTTGTATGAACGCTAAATTTGAAGGGGTCCCAGAAGAACACGGTATGTGTGTGAGTGTTAGCAGCACACGTAACTCCCCAACAGGACGATGGAGCTGCAGTGTGCAATCAGCAATCCATGAAAGTTTTTCTTCATCTCTGACTTTTTGAGATAAGAAAAGGACAGTGGCTTACTTCGAGAGCAGGAGGAATTGAACTTCCAACTTCGCATCTTGCATTTTGGGGTTCGACTTTCCGAGGTCGAGAGGTGCGCGCTTGATGAGAGGAAGGCCAATTGTTGTCATGATATACGCGACATTCAATACGACCGATGATGGAGTAACCTGACCGATATTCGCGCACCATTGCGTGCGTGTTTCTCGGTAAGAGAGAGAGAAGGCAGGTGCTGAGGTCACTTTGAGGGCAGGCAGGAGGGTCGGTGATGAAGCAGTCGCAGTCGTGTTTCCCACGCTACACGCTGGGGTTCGCGAACCAATAGCGCAAAGCTCTGAGACCCCAAAAAACATGTTAATTACAATCTACAATGTGAATAATCGTTACCTACTGTCTTGCTACCATGTCCGCCTGTTCTGTCTGTGAGACGCTTATAGACCCCAATCACTTACAAACAGTCCTGCTGTTTCAGAAACCGACATTTGCCGTAACATCTCGACGTCATTACTACTCACTTGTGATTATACGGAGCAAAGACGATACAATAGTCATGACACACAGTGCAGTGCAATATGACGCACCAGACAGAATACAAGAGGTCCCTATCATATGTTTCAAAGAGGAGGCGTTTCAACCTGTATTACTCTATCGCATAATCAACGCCGCGCAATGCTGTGAAGACTGTCTATGCTGGCTAACCGACAACCCTAAAGCTGCACCTGAAACTTCGGGTTCGTCCTGATCCTCTCACCATAGTACCTGAACAGAATCGGCACCGGGACAAACGCCACAGCGATGAACCCAAGTAGAGAATTTCCCCAACCCAACCCCAAAGCATCGTACATGTTCAATCCAGCGAGCGGCAGAAAGGCGCCGAACATGGAGCGGAGAACAGTATTTGCTGCGATAGCAGACGCAGCGTGGACAGTAAACGCATCAACGAGGTAGGTTTGGATAGTCATCATAGCCGTTAGATTACCCAGACCGATGAGCGAGGTAAAGATGATGGGGACGATCCAGTGGACTTTGTAGTATGTCGTCCACCCGTATACGAAGACACCGACGGGAAGTCCAATGGCACCGGGTAGGGTAAGGACAAGCGGAAGGCGGTGTTCAGGCTTGACGTTTCCTTTGGCTTGTTGCTTGACTATGATCTTGTCGGATAGGACACCAAGGGCTATCATACCAATGAACATGCCTACACCAACACCGATGTAGGACAGTCCAACGGCGCCGGAGGAGAAGTGGTATTGGCCCTCGAAGACAAACGTGACGGTCGTGAAGAACAGGTACAGGATACCGTAGTTGATAGCGACGTAGAGGGACATGAGACCGACAATTGGAGAAAGGAGGAGCATCTTCATCGGGCGCACAATAGCGCGAATGAAAATCTCCTTCGGCGGCAGATCCTGGGCGAGTTTCGACCTCAGATTCTCGTTTCCAGTTTCTTTCCGCAGGGCCTTCGTCTTGCGAGCGAGGATGGTAGGATGGTAGGATTCGCGGCCAACGAAAAAGAGCATGACGCCGAAGACGCCGCCGAAGATGGCAAGGATCCAGAAGACCCAACGCCAGGATTGATTCTCCACGAGGAAACCTCCGCATACAGGTCCGATGACAGGACCTAGAAGTGGTCCAACGGCCCACACGGCCATTGCACCAGCTCGTTGTTCAGGAGGAAACATGTCGGCGATTGTGCCGCCTCCGATAGTCAAGGGCGCGGCTCCGGCACACCCTGCTAGAAAACGGAAGCCTACCAACATGCCCATGGAATTGGATAACGCACAGGCGATGTTGAAGACAACGAAGAGTGCGTTGCAGATGTTGTACAGATGCATGCGTCCGTAAAGTTCAGACATGGGCGCGATTATCAGAGGCCCAATAGCGAATCCCAGGATATACACTGAGACGACGAACGAGGCCATTATGTTGGAGGTTTCGTTGAAGGCATGAAGGACCTGGGGGACGCCGGGTGCGAAGAAGGAGGATGCGAGGGGAGTGATGAGAGTACAGGCACCCAGTGCGGCTATGATACCCCACTTCTTTTTCGCCGTCCAGTTTTGAGGGTTCGCGGGATCATCAGGCCCGTCCCAGTCGACAATGTTGGGGTCTCGTTCTTGTTCTGGTGGGGAGACGCTGGACACTGTTCGCTCGTCTGTGTGGGTTGAATGGGCATGGCTGTCGATGCCCTTCTCTGGATCTTTGGAGAATGAATCCTCAGGTAGTCTGCTGTCTGCATCATGACCTTGTTCGTATGCTTCTTTGGTAGGTCCGTTGGGCAGATCTTGCGCATCCCGCGCGGGGTTTGGTAATGACGATGGCGTCGCCATTGTGGAAGTTGAATATGGAGTGAGCTGAAGGGGCCATCGTTAGCATGTATTCGACACCGTGACGCATCTTCGCCCCTCCCGTGCCGTACGCACTGATGTGGCGTCATGGTGTTAGATCACTGTGTACACTGGCAGCCAAAAAGAGAAGCACGTCTTACCGAGTTGGAACGGAGACAGTCGACTTGGAACAACGGCAAGAACCGAATACAAATCGAACAGTTTGTAGATCGACAGTTCGGAAGTCAAACTACCAGCACAAAGCGTTCTAGGCAAATATGGAAGGTAGATCTGAGAGAAAGGAAAGAAGTGATGCCTCGTGTAAAATGAACAGCAACAAAGGCTTACGTCGCAATCACGGACACAGAATCCACGACCCTCCGCACGCGAAAGGGCTGCGTGCCTAGAGTTATGATCCGAGGGCGCAAAGCGGCAGGCGGTCTTACAGCCGTATGCAGCGTGTTCACCCTATCTCCACACCCTACACGGCGTTATGTCCGCGGATAGGCTAAACTGTTCAGAGCCATGGACAACGGATCTACGGCATTGTAGGATTCTGCACCAATGATATGGCGGACGCGGGAGACGGTAGCCAGAGCATGGGGAGGCTTTGTCAAAGCTTGTTGGTTGGCATGGTGAGCTTGACAGCGCCCGCGAAATGGTGCCATCTCCCGAGGGTCGCTTGGCTGAAGGTGCGCGCGGAGGGTCGGATGGTCATCTCGGAGCCGGCGGGGCGTGGAGCAGTGCTGGGTTACTTTTGTAACGCAAATTCCATTCTTCGCAGAGACCAAGTCCGTTAACCTGGTTTCAGGCATTCGGGGTTAGGTCCGTCGCGCGTGTTCGTGCTACTACATTCGTCCGACGCGTGTACCGCGGACCTGGTATGTAGTTTGGTCCTACGTCGAGCTCAAAGCGACGTTGCTATGAATCGCAAAACTAGTAGTAGCAATTTAGGCCTCTAGATGTGGCACCTGACGAAGCGAGTCGAGATGAGTCCCGGTGGGGTTTGGTTAGCAGTACGCCGCCTTAGGAAGGCGACACGAAACACTTCTGACCTCGATATTGTCGAAAAACGCCCTGCAGCTGCATCGTTTGCCGTTCCGGGTACTCCTCTTGTGGTTTCTTGATAACGCGCAGATGTGAGTATGAGACGCGACGTCCATCGACCGATCCACTGTCCCCCCGCAAAGCGTGTGGTCCCACTTGTCCCCAGAGTATGTGTCCGCTGTCATCCGACCCATTCTGCAGATCTGTGGTATGGGAACGGCTGGTATCAGCTCTTTCGGTTCGTGCATGTTTGCGAGGATTGACTGATAACGGCAAACTCATCGGCGGAGATTTACGTGCACCACTCTTAAGTAAAAGCAGTGTGATGGGCACAAGTTGGCATGTCATGGCCGTCACGCTTTGAATGATAGATCCGTAGATGCTGACGCTGACGCATGGCATCAGCGCGGGGATTTGAACAGTCTTGTTTGTACCATGAATTCGAATTGAAACTTTCCATAGATGGGAATAAGAATGTCTATCATTTCATCGTAGGCAGCTGCTATAGGACCACCCAAGTCCGTTGCCCATTTCATTCATTCATCCACTTAAGCCAGCCTGCCACATCAATCGTGTGTATGTATATGCGCCAAAACGCCTTGCTTTGCCATGTATATTACAGAAAGAAGAGATTCGTTCGCTTCATCCAATCCATCAGGGTATCTTTATGCGATGTTGCCGGCGAGACCAAGGAACAGGGCTTGAGCTGCGAGCTGCAATGTCCAAATGCCCACCTTCTTTATGCGTCGTTTACGTGTAGTTCGATCTTCGAGGACGTCGCGGGCGAATGCATCGTACATCTAAACATGTGTTAGGATTCGTTTCTAGAGAGGCGACCAGGAGAATAGATATAGACTCACCTCCTTTGACACCTCCTCCATTAACCCGCTGTCATAGAGGGTCCAACTTCCGTCGAACTCACTAACCCTCTTCACAACCCTGCAGTTCACTGGGATGAACGTGCGACTTGAGTTCATATATGCCACAATAGGTCGTACAAGCGCGTTGTTCACGTAAGAAATGTCCCTGGTAAAGATTGGGACTGCGGCGCGCACGTCGTTGAGATGGACGCGCATGTCCATGATCATGTAACGTTTGTCCTCCTCCGTTTCCTCCTGAGGATGCGACTTGTCTTCAGGATGCTCATCGAAGCCGTGTACCGCGTGATCAGAGAAATGGTGCTTGCGCTGTTGGATAACGGTAGCTTCCACACGATCGTACATGTCGGACATGACCTTTGCAATGCTATCGTCATCGTCATTAGGGAACATGACATCTGCCACAATGTCGACATTGCCTTCGTGGATCCACGAGAAGGGGCCTTCAAAGCCCCTGTTGAGGTGGTCGATGTTTAAGCCGTCGATACGGATCCGGCTATGCTTCTTCCAGGAGCTGCCATCTTCGCTGTCGCGACCGCTGCTCAACTGGGCGCCAGTATAGTTGTGCGTTTGTCTAGGATGTATGGTAAAGAGCGAGTTGTCGAAGGATCCGGACATCATGTTGGCAGAGAGGAAGTCATAGAACAGCCATTGCTTCCGCAGTTGAGGGAGGTCGCAAGAGAAGATGCTGACGGAGAATGGGCGGAAGCCGTTGGGCTGGTAGATAGTGACGAGGAGATCTTCCATTTTGAAGGACTCCAATTCGAAGTCGCCCGGGTTGTGCTCGTGTTTGTATGACCTGGGATCCACGCCCTCGACTGTCTGCACTGATGTCCGATCTACCACACCACGGATGCCCTTGATTTCGACGTCCTTCAACAGGCCCTTGCCGTTGAACCATTTTGAGAAAGACAATGTGACGTTGACCGTATCGATGGAAATGTCGAACTGTGTGTAGTTGGTGTCTTCTTCCGGTTCCGCTTTCTCTTCGACTATCTCTGGAGTGTCGCTTTCCTGGTGGGTTATCGCAGCGGCGGCAGCAGCCATCTCAGTTTGTGAGCCCTTGCTGACCTTTCCTTTGCCTTGGCCGGGGCGTCGCGAGACAAAGACCTTGCGGAAGGAGATGACACCGTCTCCCCACTTGGGCACTACGGCGGTCTCGAAGACGACTTTTATGCCCGAGGACTTTGTCAAGTAGTTTCCAATCCACTTGGCAATCGTCTCTTGTGAGAAAGCCGTGTTGATCAAGAAGATGGTCAACATGAAGAAGGTTGTAGTCCCCAGCACGATCCAGAGGAAGTGCGCGGCAATGATCCATGAGAACAGTGCGTAGATCTCATCGGCATTGAAGGGACGGGTGCTTCGGATGGTGAGCCATTTGAAGTGGATCTTTATCCGCGACCAGAAGCCCGACGCAGCTTCGAGTAGTTCAGCCTTGCTGGGACGGTATATGTGGGGTAGGTGGTGCGGGAGACGGTCGAGGAGGGGCTTTGCAGCACCTGATGCCTCGGGCTTTGGCTTAGGCGGCGGTGTTTTGGAGGACCTGGGAGGCGAATTCGGCTGAGGGGAGAGCTGCGCTTGCGGTGTCTGGCCCGTGGGCTCTGGTTTGGTCTTGGAGGAGCCATTCGTCGCCGAACTCTTGTTGCGTCGGTCGCTGCCTCTGTTCCTCTTCAGCGCTCGGCCCGCTTTGGACGATGCGTTTCTGCTCCATGCCGAGAAAACAGTGCCAGCCACACTCTGCTGGAGACGGCCAGTGCGGGGTGAGGATGCTCGTAGCAGGAGACTGGGTGCCTGTCCGGGATACGGTGAGGGCGTGATCGAAGGCCAGCTCGTCGTGGTCGACAGCCCCAAGACATGCGAATTCGCGGCAATGGAGCGCTTCTGGATGCCTCCCCGCCATGGCGACTGCGCCTGTGCCCATACCCCCAGCCCTTCACGCGGAAGCACACGGCCGTGGATCAGCGGCTGGCCAGCGACGGCGCGCCACAGGAAGCCGAGCGTGCCTACATTCTTGTTCATGATAATCGCGGCGGGTACATGGTCGACGTCCGCAAGCGAGGGGGTGTGCGGACGTGTGTGGGGGGGGGGAGAGAGGGTGCGGTGTGCGGTGTAGGACAGGCGGGCGGTTGGTTGGAATACAAGATTCACGTCATTACCCATGCACACAAAAAGAAGGCTCACGGTAGAGTGACAGGCGCTATCCCGCTTCGGGACGACTACCGCTCGCCTCCCAGCGCTCCCAGCCAAATTTCTTGAGCAGCCCCACATTGTCGCGCATCGATAGCATCGACAACATCCACGCCCGCCTACACTTCGCATACCGCTGCCAGCATGCCCGCCCCTACCGCCCTCCAGCGCAGGCCCGAAGAGTTTGCCGACGATGTCACCATGGAGGCATCGTCGGTCCCGCTCCCGACCGAGAGCGACGGCGACCTCATCTCCATGAGCCTCGACCCCGTCGACGCCGCGCACGACGCCCCAGCACCCACAGACGACATGCCCATGACAGACGAGAGCGGGAAGCCAAAGTTCCCCGCGGCCAAGTCGATACCCCTCGCTTTCCGCCGCGAACAGCGCAAGGTCCCCATCCCACCGCACAGGATGACGCCCCTCAAGAACTCGTGGCCCAAGATCTACCCCCCGCTTGTCGAGCACCTCAAGCTGCAGGTCCGGATGAACACAAAGGCAAAGGCCGTGGAACTGCGCACCTCAAACGCCACAACCGACACAGGTGCGCTGCAGAAGGGAGAGGACTTCGTAAAGGCCTTCACCCTGGGCTTTGACACGGATGATGCCATTGCGGTAAGTGATACGAAGCTCTACACCTGAGCTGGCGGATACTCAAGCTGGTCTTGGCCTCGCCAGACTCCTCGATTCGAGAACGTCGGACTGACGACTCATAGCTGCTTCGTTTGGACGATCTCTACATTGAGACCTTTGAGATCAAGGACGTCAAGACCCTACAGGGCGAGCATCTCGGCCGTGCGATTGGCCGCATTGCAGGCAAGGACGGCAAGACCAAGTTCGCCATTGAAAACGCCAGCAGAACACGAGGTACGTCCACGGCATGAAAACCCCAGCTGTCCAGATAACTAACAATCTCCAGTCGTCCTAGCAGACCAGAAAATCCACATCCTCGGCGGTTTCAAGAACATCCACATCGCGCGCGAATCCATTGTCAGCCTGATCCTGGGTCAACAACCAAGCAAGGTGTACGGCAACCTACGAACAGTCGCCGGGCGTATGAAGGAGAGGTTCTAGACGATACACACAAGTGAGAAATCTTGCATAGTAGCCAAGCAATGGCGACCACGATATCGGGCATTTACACGGCGTTATGGAGACTGGGGTAGGTTGGGAAAAGCTGTTATACCATCTGGCATGATTTGACGATTGGAAGAAGATGGCTGGGATATGATATAGCTATAGAAGCAATTACGAGCCACTGATACATACTGACATGGTCATGTTCGGTTTTGACAAAATGTGAGCACAAAGATTGCATGATACTCTTCTCTCCCCACAAACATCTATGCTGCCCGCTTCCCTTACCCATCCAGTCTCCCCACAAAAACCGCACAAACCTCTCTCCCCTCTTCGCCCCAAACCCTCTGGCAAGGAATCCACTGCACACCCTGCATCTCCACCCCCTCTCCTCCATTCCCATACCACGCAAATCCCCTTCCAACATACAGCGTAACACTCGTCCAGCCCCGTGCACCCAGCTTCCCTAACACCTCCACATCCCGCTCATCCCTGATCTCCAAGGTAAAGAACCGAGACCGACTGTGCGCCGGTGTCGTAATAGTACAATGGGGAACAGTGGCGTCACGCTCGTATGCGATGGAAGGAGACGTAAGACCCGTAGCACTCCACTCTATATCCACATCGCGCGGCAGAGAAGAGACCTGGGCGACGAAACAAGGTGGCATGAGTATCTCTGCTTTACCCCCAGCCGAACCTTGATTTTGCGCAGTAGACATAGCAGAGCGATCAGGAATTGGCGACCGGAACGTAGAATCCTTGAAGGTCGAGGCGTGATGCTGGTTCAAGCGGTCCCAAGGATCAACATCCTCGTCTTCATCCTCGTCGTTGTCATCGTCGGACGAGGAAGAAGGTGGGGTATGAAGCTTCCTCCATACTTCCTGTGCCGTCCGCACATCTCCCTCTGGAGTCTCAGAAGTGGGGATGAAACATACGGCTGCTGACCACCATGTCACTCCCTTTGTGCGGCCGATGCGCCAGAGGTGTTGGAGGGAAAGGAGAGCTTGGCCTCTGAAACCTTGCTCTGTATAGATGTCCATTGATGCGGGGATGAGCGGGATTTGCCCGGCTACGTAGACGGCTTCTCCGGCGTTTTGGGTGTCGTTTTCGGAGAGCTGATTGCTTGGGGGTAGGCGGATGGAGATGGCTTGGCTGTAGGGTCCGATGTTTGCGGGTGCCCAGTAGCTTCGGCCTTGGACGTGGAGGCCTTGTCTCTTTACTGCGTGGAGGGGCTTTCCGTTTTGGTCGTTCTGGTCCTTGTCCGCGGTTACGCTTAGCATGACGTGTCTGTCTTTGGGCATGGTGTCTCCGACTGCGATCGTGGCTCTGGCTGGTGGGTTCACGTCGCTGAAGTATTGAGCGTAGATTGGATTAAGGACTGTAAAGTCTGCCATATCGCGGAGGAGCAATGTGCAGTGGTTGACGCTGGATTTGGAGACATGGCACTGCTTCAGAATATGGTCGAGACGGAGGAAGATCTTGGAGAGCTGGCGAGAAGGGGAATCGGGTGCGGAAGAAGGAGAGGCATCGCTCGTGAGATTGGAGTAAGTAAAGACGGTCGAGGTGTTACTGAATGTATTCCTGGGTAGTCGGTCTACTATTGGTGGATGATGCACTTGAGACGACCCAAAAGACTGAACAGTGCCCTCTTTTCCGGTGAACGCAGAAAGTTCGCTTTCGTTGCTGGCGTTTATCACTTCCAGCACTCCCTTGAACTCGTCATCAAAGAGCTCAGGTATCCTCAATGTGCCAGCATCTTCGTTGTCATCAACCTTTTCCTCTAGCGTACTCTTCTCGATCTTCAGCACCGCCTGGCCACCCTCCAGTTTCCCAGGTGGACCATCCTTGATCACTATCTTCTTCTTCCAGATCGATCTCGGCCCATCCAGTGCCAACGTCTCAAACTCCCCTCCTTCACCTAGTATCGCGCCATCACCAGCATCACCATAGCGCCCCATGGCCTTCGCTAGCCTTGTTATAGTCTTGTGATTTGCGACATCGAGGCCCAAAAATTCTTCATCCAGACCGCCAGACGCCGTCTTGATGATGATTGCTTTTTGTCCTACAGTCGTCATGTCATGCAAAAGTGACGATTGCGTATACGGTGGCAACAGCGGATACTGCCACAGATACGACAGTGGCGTCAGCCCTAGCCTGAGCGCAACATTCTCCACACGCGTCCGTTGATAAGTGCTCAGGATGGCCCCTGTAGACACTGCGTTTGCCTCCGGATGTGCTTCCATAACCCTTCTCAACAGCGGAACCAAATCTTCAGTCTCATCCTGCTCTTGCTTTTGCAAAGGCGTTGCATAGTCTCTGTTTGAGTCTACGGCGGTGCCCAGGATCTCTTGTCGATAGAGCGGTATTCCTAGCGCTTCTTCGTAGAGTGGGATGACCGAGTGCCCCACGGTCTGGTACATGTAACTGTTGATGTCTTCATCGTCATTGGCCGAAGGCGCTGGGTGCAAATTGGCCAGTGCTACGACGGTGTGGCCGTTGGCTTTGCAGTGGAGAATGGAGAAGAGCGAGTCTTTGCCTCCGGAGATTAAAGCAATTACGCTCAATGACGGTGACATGGTAAAACGAATGATTCGAAACGGGCGACCGTCTGGGAAAAGCAATGAAGGAATTAAGACGGCCCGGTGCCGCTCGTTGCATGATACAGACGCAGGTGGATTGGATCTCGCTAAAGGTCTGCGCGCGCTAGGTTGATCCGTGGGGTTTTGCAACGAGCGCGATAGTGTATTTTGGTATCAGGGTCCCGTCCTGCACTCATCGCTGACGGATGATCGTCGAAAAAGCAACGGTGCGCACAACGCGCGGCTCGCATGGATGGCACAGTAGTCACATGCAGGGAAGAAGCATCGGAAGTATGTATGTATGTAACGTGTTTTTGTATGATAGTCGGACAGTGCCAGCACCTCTAACCTACAATGGGCCGCAAAGAACGCAAAAGCATTGCTGAGCAGATTGTAAAAGTCTGACAATTACATGTGTGTAATGAGAAAGAAGCGAAGATTCCCGGAATGTCAGAGGGCGCTCAGATGAGGCAGCCCGATTACAACGAGTGTAGGAAGATAAACAGGAGGGGTAACGCGGCGACAGTGGCCGGTGTAGGGTAATGGCCATGTCGTCGTAAAAGTGAAACCAAGAGAAACACCAGATCTATCCGTCCGCCAATGTCCGCCCCAGAAGTCCCGATAAGCCGTGCTAAACGCAAAACCAAGCGATGAGAAGAAAATGCCAATCTCGCATGTTGGTACAGCCAGATCGGGTATGTAGAATACAGTGGGAGAAGGGAAGCGTAGAGTTTTAGCTGCAGATTGTGCAAGCTCGAGGCCGCTGATGTAGATCGGTGCCGCCTGTCTAGCCATGTCGTGAGGGTGGACGAGCAGCCATGTGGCATGATGTATAATCCTTCTACCGGGTGTTGTGTGGGTCATGAAGAGTCGTTAAGAGTTGAAAGGAGAAGTGTGGTAGAGAAGACGATTTACTCGTTTCTCTTGCGCTTCTTCTGGCTGGGGGAAGACTCGTTCTCGGATCCATCTGAGCTTGATGTGGGGATCTCGGCAGCGGCGTTGTAGAGAATCTCGCCCATGGTGGAAGGCGCCTGTGCGCCAAACGCACCGGGTTGACCGTGCTGCATGTCCGAATGATGGAAGTCGGAGCCCATGACCTCGAGGCTAACAGCGCCAGTGCCGTGGGTGCGCTGGTGCTGCGACAGGTTGTCGCTCCTGGAGAACTTCTTACCGCAGTCGGTGCACTCAAAAGGCTTGTCGTGAGTGTGGAGAGAGCGGTAGTGACGCTTGAGGTGCTCTTGACGGCGGAAGCGACGCGAGCACAGAGTGCAGACGAATGTCTTGGAAGGGTCGTCGGTGAGCGACTGCTTGCGACCGCGGCGGCTAGTAGGTGCGACGGGAGTGGCGTGTTCGTCTGAGCTGGAGCCGACAGCGTTTTCGGCTTGACCTGATTCTTGTTGGCTTGATGCTCCAGACATGGTGTTATCATCACCGGATGTCTGTTGCTTACCCTGGTAGTCGGACTCAGTCTCGCTGAACTCGGAACGAGCCTTCTTGACTGTTCGCCTCCTCATGTCAGAAGTAGCCGACATGTCGAAGTCGCTGGTGGCAGGAGTAAGGGGCAGGCCGTTGACGAGCTCCTCCTCGAAGTCGGTGAAGCTCTCGTCGCTGAGGAAGTCCTCTTCAGGAGAAAAGGCACCGAGGTCAGTGCGCTGGCGTTTGCTGCCGCAAAAGTGGGCGTTATCGGTGGAGAAGTTGACCAAGCCGGTGAAGTCGTCCTCGCAGTCAAGCTCGAACAGGGGCTCGAAAGTGGGCAGTCCAGTGAAGTTGAACGACTGAGCAGGCTCGAAGCTATCTACCTTGGCAGTCTCACCCTTGAGGACAACCTTGTGCTCCTCGTCGCCGGGGCAAAGTGTGACGATAGGGAGCTCGGTGGTCGCAGAGACGGTGAGATCGCGGGGGTTGCAGAAGTTGTTCTCGGCTTCCGCAAAGGCAGAGCGGGGCACTGGTGATGGTGATGGGGAAAGCGAGGGGCATGAAGTTGCAGACAGGAGGTAGGACCCCTGGTTAGCCGACGGAGGCTGGATGTAGACTTGAAGCAGTTAGCAACGCTGTCCACGCACACAAATGATGAGTTGCCCACACAACGTAAAGGCAGCCACATTGCTTGCACAAGACAATACAAAAAGAACATTGGACAAACATACCTGGTGTCATGGGTGGGGAGGCTGAACGCCATTCGAGACCGGCAGAGAGGAGCTCAGAGAAGACCTCGCCTTCGCAACCTTGCTTGACACCCTCGATGCCTTCAGCAGAGAACATGTCGTGCAGCGGTGTAGGAAGGACATCGCATGTGGATGGAGGGCTGCTGGTGTTGCTACCGCATGACGAAAGAGGAGGTGTGGCAGGCGAGAACGAGTAGTCAGTGTCAATGGGGTGAAGGTATGGCGAGTCTTGAGGTTGGATCAAGATCGTTGGCTTCTGGTACATTGGCTGAGGAGATGCAACGGGGGTAAGCATCTGGTTGGCGTAGGCGGTCTGAGGGTAGGACATCTGAGAGCATGCCGACGTTGGCCTCTGGTAGTACATGTTCTGTGCTTGGAAGGTAGCCTGTCCGGATGGGTGGGGTGTGAAGTGACCGTGTTGGCGTGTGTTCTCCCCTTGAGGGTCCGGGTTGTAGTAGAAGAATGGTGATTGCATTGCCTGGGCAGGGTGGATGGGATATGAGCCTTCCATTGCGTGTGTAGGTGTGTCTTTAGTTCAATATAGCAGTTGTCGTCGTTGTACACGTTGTTGTTGGTGGGTTGGGTCGATGATAGAGTTGTATCGAGTGATGTCGAGGACAAATTAGTTGTACTTGAAGGCAGGATACTGGACAGTATAAGAGAGAGTCGAAGGAATGACTGTGGGCCAGTTCGTAATAACGAAACTGTCACTAAGATAGATAATGAAGATCAAAGAGTGTGAGGGCACAAAATTATGAGACCCAAGATGAAAACCTGAACGGCGACGGCGGAAAGAAACGAGAGGGACGTGGTTGATGAACCTTGATCAAGGGCAGGCCAGTGAAAAAGAGAACTGATGAGCGCACAGAGAAGGACGGCTCGCTCTAGTGCGCCGGGGCGCAGCGCAGCTCCACAAGCCAGCTAGGTATGGGATCCTGCATTAGACCCTAGCCTTGACTCGCGTCAAAAGCAGCGAGTGCATTAATGCATGGGTTTTGGGCCTAAAATTATTCGCCCAATGCATAGCTGCATGGGGCTATACGCGAAATGAGATGTGCGCGGCGGTTCCGGCAGGCCTCGAGGTATTGGCTACGTCGCCAGCACAGCACATGGTGGGATGGAAGGCCTGCACACTGCCTACGTAGTGGGTTCTACCGCCCTCTCCGAATGGAGGCGACGCAATAGCTGAAGGCAACTGAGCCTCGCCACAGTATGGCCGTTGTTCTGAACAGCGAGTGATGGGTAGCGAATGGTGATACTGCCGATGACTGGGCGAGCGTCGGGTGTGTCTTGCGTCTCGTCTGACAAACCACACCACAGGATGCCCTTTCAGACGGCCCTCCAACTCGCCTCGAAATTAGCGCGCCCGGGCATCATTCAGCCTATCATCCTATCTGCCAATCGATAATGATAGCTGCGAGACCCTGCCGGTTGAACTATGTTTTGAAACATCCATACAGCGTCGCGTCTCTCCCGCTCTTCGTGATGGTGATGACGCTGCGCGCTCCACTGAATATGTCACGCACGACAACACCGTACCGCCCGCGGTGCCACCCTCCAGCATCACAGAAGCAACACCGGGCATGCTGATGTCGTTGTTGATTGAGTGCTTTTGGACGCGCTGTGGCCGGCGTTAATGTTGCCCGCACACCACAAGACTCGCGACGCCTTCCTGCGATGCAGAAGCGTACGAGCGATGTGTCTCACGATGTCCACAACAACTCCACCATCGACGCATGCCCAGAGGTGTAGGAATGTATCGCGTCAAGTCGCCCGACACGAGGGCAGAAAAATGGTCCATTGTCACACCCATCGCGCAACACTGGAGCGAGAACTTGACATGCCGGGCTTACGCAGGAACGTAAGCCATGGTGCAAGAACAGAATCCCCGTTGAGCGTGATTTGCCCGCGAGCTGAAGGGCCTGGGATCCGCGCCCTCCCAGTGGTCAAAAACACGGCTATTCTTGATGGTGCGACATACTCGTGTGCAGCTCTCTGCAAGTCGCCACCGATGCCATTCTTCTTCGAAGGGTGTAAAGAAACTCGGTTGGTGGGATGCATGGTCATATAGCTGCACATGCGGCCTTAATCCATCTCGCAAGTGTGTTTCAGGTGTTGGGCTGCCACTTCGGCTACCACTCGTGCAGCGACCGATTGTGGTGGTGTACCAGACAAAGCAACCAGCTGCTCTATCTAGGTATCGATAGTAGACGCAGTTGGCTGGCTATGACGCCGATGAAGTGGATGCCTCACCATTTACACTTCCGCCGCGGTATGAGTTATGCATGTTGATGCCTCGTATAAGATTCGGCACAAATAGAAACGAGCTATCGAATGCTGCGGGTGCAAAGTTATGAAGCCGCCGGCGAGGCCTAAGTGGCTTACTCGTAAAAGCGGCGTGTCTTTCGCGTGACAAGCGTTGGTCGACTCGAACAGGCCCGATGGCATCCGCCTGGCCGTCATCCCCCACATTGACTGCAGAGCTTATTGATCGAGAATAGCGTCTACTGCAGGTACAATGCAGGAACAAACGGTAAGTGAGACCCCGTACAACATGCGGGCTTATCGTGACTCCAGGAAAAGATTTTGTGAGATTTTCGCGCTGCCTGCTCGCCCTACAACTGCTGTCATACTCACTGCTTCGTGTCAAGACGATGCAATTTCTAGAAGGCCACATCAGCGGGGCTCCCTTACGACTCAACAGGGTCCTGATGCGACTCAAGTTGAAGAAGGGCTCTTCCGTGGTGTGGGCCGTGTCAGTTAGCGTGTGCGGCGTGGTCATGCCATAGCTTCGGCGCCGGGGAACGACGCATGGCTTCCATAGCACAACTCCACTCGACTCTCTCTCCACTTCTTCAGCCTTGTCATTGGCCGAGACTCACGAGGCCCTGATCTTCGTCCTCTCGAAGGAAGTTTTCCAGCCTGGCGGGGTTGGGGCTTCCATCCCGCTCGCCCATGATTTGACTATCACGATGGTGTATCCTTTGACTCGCTAGCACGTCCATCGGAAGTACAGCCATGTGTGCCGGCTTGACCAACACCAGAGCTAGTCGACCGTGCCACTCAGGTTCCTGCGTTTGTTCCGTCATGCCGCGGGTCAATGTTACTTTTACGCGTTAGAAACGAAGTGTGGCTTCCGAAACCATTGAGGGCATGACTACACAACGTGAATAGTTGCAAGGTGTCTCTGCTGGTAGGATGCGCACCAGGTGCCTCCCTGAAGGCTTGACAAATCTGACGTACCATCACCAAGGCACCGATACCGGGAACGTCGTCTTCTGGAATTGTGAAACTCATCAAAGGTCGCCATTGCCGAAGAGGCAATGACAACGGCTATGTCACCCCGATAAGGCAGCTGGCAGATCGCTGAGCCCACCGCGTCGGGGTCTCAAGCACGGTCAGACATGCTTCTAACGAAATTCGCGTTATGCTCAAGCAAGGTCAAGCTCGTCTGTAATCTCCCGAGAGCCCGCACGACTGGTCCCTGACCCTGTGGCTTCTGGAATTCTTCCCCACACTGATGCTCGGTGCTTGCTGCTGAATGCATGTGGATGTGCTATGCGGTGTGCTGGTCCAGCCAGGGCAACCCTTCCTGCGAGACACCGCCTTGACATTGTTGAGGCCAGTGTCTGATGCGAAAGGCATCGGTTGGAGATGTGTCTCGTCTAGTCGAGACGGCAAGTGGGAATTCGCAGAGGTCCGCGTTCTGGAGCCGTCGTGGCTATTGCCGAAGCTGCTGGCCTGAGAGCAGGCGGTCGAGGTCGCACCGCTACGGGCTGGATCTCACCATCAGCCCGACACACGTGGGATTCTATCGACAATATCGGCATACGATAAGCCCGCGGTGAAACGACCGTGAATGTGGTTAGCACCAGGTCCCGGGTGGATAAGACCCGTGTTATTCAATTCTGTTAAGTTTCGAAAGCTTCCATTCATCGCAAATCACTCGGCACGTCGCGCCTTGGCTGGTCATCGAAATCTCTGCAGACCTTCCGCTGGCCATGACACGAGACCTCGACAGGCGATATCTCCCCAAGTCGGCGAGACAAGACCACAAGTGCTCATGGCACCAGGGTCTCGCAACGCTGCGGGACAAACCGACCATGGACGGCTAGTGACTGTGCTCCCCAACGTATGGAAAGTCGCCGATCGAGCGCAGATCTTGGGCATACGGGCGCGTCGGCACGACGATCGCAATTGAAAGTGACGCGCGTGAAGTTGTACATGCTCGATAGTTCTCCTCGACCAGAGGATAGGGCGTAGACGAGCAGGTAATTGTCATGAACATGTGAACCTGACGTACTATAGTAGCTCATTGACGTAAACTTTGTCCAGGACCGGTAAATTCAGAGTCGTAAAGACAGCGAGCAAGTTGGCAGCCGTAGCGTCCCCGCGGCTGCAAGCAACCTGGTATTCACCGATTATGTTGACTACTGGCTGACTGAGCACTCGACGTCGCTATCAGCCGCCGTACGGGCCGACTGACTCTGTTCACATGTACAGCCAAAAGCGAGCGGCGCCGCGGTAGAGCAAAGAAAACCCGGGTCGAGAACTCGAGAGCATGAAGCACGCACGCACGCCGCACTCGAGCGTCCGACCGAACATGTCCTCCTACGCTCTGACGCCGAAAGTTCCTCCATGGCCACCATCCCGCGCAAATGCCGAGGCACCGCATGAATCCAGACGCACGGCGCTTTGTTTCGTGGCATCCTCAGGCAAAAAGCCATCTTCTGGAAACATACGAAATCCAAACTGCATGAACAGAGACGACGAGAATAGGGCATTCCCGGCGCCCTCGTGGCCACGGCCCATCCATCTCATACAGGATCCTCGCTGAAACATGGCAGATCTCAACGGCGAATGATCTGAAGCAGCGACAGCGGCTGTGTCGAAGTCGCCATACGTCCCTGGCACTGTGCCCGTCTCACAGGCCTGCGCGTGCTCTCCAATCTGCGAAACACCCAGGTGTCATCCAACGGTCGCGTCGAGCTTCCGCGACAGCGCCGCAGCAACCGCGTAGTAATTCCGAACAGGAACGTGAAACAGGCCTCAGAAGTTGTGATGTTGTAATCAGTCGCAGCCTAGGCCACGTATTACTCTTCCTATCAATTATTCAAATGATTCATCAGCGGCCATGGAAAGAAGAGGTCGCTCGAGCGCGCGACGAAAAGTCTTTTGAGGTTCTCGGGCCCGCCGAAGCTTAGCCGGTGTCACGTGCCGGTCGGAGAAACGCGAGCGCCGACGCGCTAGTGCGGCGGCCATAAAAACTTCGCACCTCTGTGTACTGCTTCTGCTCCTCGCGGCGCAGGACGATAGTCCGTTTCCCCGGTTGCTTGAGGGTCATATTCCATGTCCCTTCATGTGTCGTCGACCTGCCAGAGAGAACATATTGCATCATCTATCATATACACTTTGTGGGGGCGCCTGTTTCTAGTGGCGCCTTCACTGGAAAAAGGTAGAACATATTTTCGTGAGACGCAGCTTTTGATGCACCAGTATGCTTATGTCGAGGCCTTATGCCTTTTGAGCAGCACTGAAAGCGCACATGTCTTGCTTGCGGCCTTGACGTGATTCGTATCATTTCTGTGAGCAAGCGTCCACCATTCGATCGTCCCGAGGCTGGGCTAGCGCTATATTCACAGCAGTGAACTCCCGGCGTCAAGTTGTCTGCATATTGAGCGGCGCCGTTTTGTTGCACTACGAAATACATGCTCCATAACGTGAGTAGTCATCCTGACGTTGTGTTCGTGGAACTTGTATGTCTGGAACTGAATGCTCCCAAGGTGAATTCTTCGAAGACGACCACGGGACACGCGCCCTGGCGAGTTTAATCCATTTCTACCCAAACGTGCTTTACAACTTGTCAATACGCTATCGACGTGAATGTATTCTCTTCTGGGAATATTCGCTTCTCCCTATATTGTCGTGCGGCGTTGAT